GGTCCTCCAGGCCAGCAGGGGGGCCCAGGAAGCTGGGTGAATCAGATGTGGGTAGGGAGGATGATCGGCACAATGGGGATCACTTACTGGAACCGATCCCCTATATGGCTCTCTCTGCATCAGATGAAAGCTAGTTTATTCTCTCCTTCCCGCTGGCTTTTAGCTGCTACAGAGAGAGCCATACAGGGGATTGGTTCCAGTAATTGTACCCATCACCCTTCCTGTGCACCATACATTTCCCTCTGCTGCCCAGAACCCCCCCCCCCCCCCCGTGTTCCTCCACCCCCGCAGTGTTTCTGGCTTCCCACCCCTCCTTCCCACAGTCAGCTGCAAGCACACATTAGAGTCCTTTAGGATGGAGGGTGGGGGAAGGGTCCAGTAAATACTGTATGCAACATTTACCAGCCCCTTCCTTTCCTAAATAAATGCAATGGGTGATCAGTACCGATCTCTCACTGTGTTTTTTCATAACTGTAGCATAGTAGACTGTGTGTGGTTTTTTTTTTGGGGGGGGGGCGCGATTGTCAAGTTGTCTGTATGGGGCCCTGTGGTTTCTAACATCAGCCCTTCTTAGTACCAAAGGTGCAACCCTTGCAAGGTCCCTAGCCAGTGCCAGCATCTTCTCCCTGGCTTATTCCAGGTGATGGTCTTTGGCTGTCTTGATTGGCCAATGCGGGATGACGTCACTCTCGCTCATGTGCAGGAGTGCATTCGCTCAGTGTACTTTCTATAGGGGACTGCGAATAGGCAGGTAAATGTACTTTATTGCAGAAGAGACATTACATATACAACCGTGCAATGTCTCTTCTGCAATAAAGAGCCTGCCTGTTCACAATTTCTTTTTTCAATTTTTGTTCACTTTAATTCCTGCAACTACATGCCAGGCTATACTGAGACTGGTAAGTGCCATCAGTTTCATTTTTTTTTTTACTGCTGCATGGCTCATGAAGAGTTTCAGACTGGTGGTTATTTCTCAGGTTAGAAAACTCTTTTTCCTTCACAATATAAAACACAAGATTTTTAGAGTTGTGATTTCCAGAATAGAATCAATTTGATGCTGAAATACAGCAAAAGGCCAGGTAAACCCAAAAGGATCATTTTCGTAAGTGCACTTCTATTCTGCCCAGAGACGTATGGCCAATTTTCTAAACGACATCTCCTACAATGCGTGTAGTGACTTCCAATTTCCTTGAAATGTTCATGCAGCTCTTCCTATTTACCCTTAAAGGGAAACTAAAATGGTGAGCAGATTTTATTTTATTTTTAAGTTTATACAATTTTATTAAACTAGTTTTTTTTTATCTTTTTTTAATTAGAAAACCTTTGTTTTGAAAAAACACTTTTAATACAGAGTGCAGAGTTAGTACAAGTGTGCATGACACAGGATTCACAGAGCACTAGGGAGAAGTGGAAACATTTTGGTTAAATTGATTTCAACACAAATGTACTCTCAATTCCATTTATCTGTAATTCTATTAAAAAACATAAGATAATGGGACTATTTTTGGCACAAGAACTGGTCCAAGATAACAAGTTGACAGGGGCTTCTTTAACCCACAGGAGCCATTAAAGGCTATTGCACTTTTAAAAAATACACATATTAAATTAAATGTAAACTCCAACTGAATTTCATTTAGTTTTCTAAATCATTCTGTGTTTTGAAGAATTGCTAATAAATTAATATTTAACCCGTGCTGCATGTTAGTACAGCTGATCTCCTGCAGCATCTTTGCAGCCACTTCCTGGCTACATACATGCAGCGTGGTGTCAGTTTACTCAATGTTGTTTTGCATACAGTACTTTTTTCAGAGCAGCGGGTACCAGTGCAGACCACCATATTGCAATGCCACTGTGGTGAATAGAGCTTTATTGAAGTGTCACATGCGAAATATCAATAACGTTCTGTGAAAAAAAAAACTGTTTCATGTACCAGTATTGGCATATTGGCACCCTGAATGAGCCCTTACAAAGACACAACATTTCATGTTTACTAAGTCATGCAAAATGTCTGCTTGGTTGCAGGAGCCAAAAATTGACTGCATGTCTGAAGAAGGATATAAACTAGATAAAGTCAAGGGAGAAATTGAATTTCATAATATTACCTTTTACTACCCATCGAGACCAGAGGTCAAGGTAAGATGCAAAACTCAGCAATGACATTGATTTATATAATGAGCACATGCTGGTCCCACAGTATGCATTGTATGAGCACAACATATCTGCTCTGAAGTTTAAGGATGAACCACTCCTTAGTGCCTACAGCTACAGAGGTCAGTGATGGCTTGTTTTAAAGTTCAGTCGATACTTCAAGGTTCACAGCTCCACTGCACATCTTGGTTGATCCTGGAAAAGCATACAGAGAACACTGCCTAGATACACAGGGTTTCAGTTTTTCTTGCAAGCTGTAGTATATCAGTCCAACCTGTTTATGAGTAATTTGGTGATCTGGTTACTTTTTCTGAAATATAGAGAGACATTTCCAGAAACACCCAATGCAGGTTACTGCTTCTGACACATAGAAAGGCTAATATATTAAAGTATCCGATAAAACAAGAAACATGTATATTAGCAATGATAATAACTGAAGTGCTCAAAAAAAATGAAGGTGCTACTGTGCTACAACCATCAAAATCTTCTAATATGATCCTATGCAAATAATTGATAAATAAGGTGTAAACCAATTACACCTTTGTAAGTAAAATAATACCCCTATTCTTATCCAATGCCTACAAACAGCATATACATTCATACAATAAACAAATTCTTAACAAGTAATCCACAGTAAAACCATAAACCTAAACAATTAATGTTATAGTTTACAGTTCCCATTCCAATAAAGTGCCTGATAAAGTGCAGTTGTGGCAACTTATAAAAAGATGTCAATGAGGTCTGGAGAGTGATTTACTCTAAAGGATGACATCAGTACGGAAACACAAGAGTGTGTTTTTGCACACAGGACTTTAATAAGTTGTCACATCTGCACTTTATCAGGCACTTTATTTATCAATTATTTGCATAAGATCATATTAGAAGATTTTGATGGTTGTAGCAAAGTGAATTTTTACCTTTTTCGAGCACTTTGTCTTAGCACAATAGCACTTTCATTTTTTGAGCACTTTAGTCATTAGCACTGCTATTATACATTTTTTATTGTTTTAGCTGATACTTTAATATATTAGCCTTTCTGTGTGTCAGAGGCAGTAACCTGCATTGGGTGTTTTTGGAAATGTCTCTCCTGCTTTTTTGTTTTATCTCATAACGGTGTTAGAGGGAATACACCCACTAGCAACTGCTGGCAATTGTAGAGATATAGGGTTTTACACATTATATGTACAGGTGTATAATGTTTTATTAACATAGTAAAGTGCCTGGGCTAAATTCAGTGGATCTACAAGTATTCATCACAGAGGTGGAAGTTTGAATCTGGTTAGCAGTACAGTTGCACAACACAGGCACATCTATGCATGCTCCTAGTCAAGATTTTGATATGGCTGACAATTGCCTGCCTCAAACTAGTAATCAGAAACCAAGAACCATGGTTTGTAATCGTGTCATCATTTTAACCGCTTATCCACCGCCCTATAGTAGAACTATTGCTATGAGGTGTCAGGGCTGCGTAAAATCACTTGTAAATATACGTGATTTGCATTTCTGGGTAGAGGGCACGTGTGTGCCGCCCTACCCGCATGCGAGTTGGCAACTACAGATGTCAATCACCAGGTCCCCGCCGGAGATTCCCCATCGGCACCCAGCGATCGTCGAGTAACACTGACAGGGGAGAGACCTGTGTGTAAACAACACAGGTCTCTCTTCTGTCAGCAAGAACATGCTGCTGTGTATTTCTCTGCACAGCAGCATGTTTCCCTAGTAAAACACACACGCACATTATGTAAAACACCACACAGCTCACAGTTAACCCATTGATCACCCCAGATGTTAACCCCTTTCTGCCCAGTGTCATTAGTATGGTGTCAGTGTTTTTTATTAGCACTGATCACTGTATTGGTGTCATTGGGATGTCAGTGGCAGTTAGTCAGTTCCCACCCAGTGTTAGAATGCCCGCCATGGTCCTGCTCTAAGTCACTGATCGCCGCCATTACTAGTATAAAAAAAATTTAAATAAAAATTCCAGTATATATACCGCCATTCGTAGACGATATAACTTTCACATAAACCAATTAATTTACATGTATTGGGATTTTTTTTAGCAAAGACGCAGCAGAATACATTTTGCCCTATATTTATGACAAAATTAGATTTTTGTATTTATTTTACTGGATATGTTTTATAGCAAAAAGTCAAAAATATTGTTTTTTTTTTTTCAAAATTGTTGGTTGCTTATAGCGCAAAAAATTCAAAATGCGCAGGTGATCAAATACCACCAAAAGAAAGCTCTATTTGTGGTAAAAAAAAGGGACATAAATTTCAATGACTGCACAATTGTCAGTTAAAGTAACACAGAGCCGTAAGGCAAAAAATGGCCTGGTCAGGAAGGGGGTAAATCCTCTAGAGGGCAAGCAGTTAACAGCCAATCATGGTGATGGTATGGGGTTTGTTTAGAAACAAACTTACCAGCTGCTGTTGTCCCTGTATATAACACTGTGCAAAAGAAAAAAACAAATAAGCTGAAAAAACTTGATTAGCAACTGGTAAGTGTAAGGTAACTTTAAAATAGTCCTAAAGTTATTTTCAAGTTAACCAATGTATCCCGAAGATGCTGAATTTGATCAGGGCCTCTGGGTTTAAATTCTCTCTGGTTTCAACAATGCTAAGCTATGCATAAGATGACTTTAGCGCTCTTCTGAAATGTATAACCTGCAAATTATTGTACTGACCCTAAATGATGCAATTGACAAGTGGTTTACATTTTTATTCAGATTTTAGAGAAATTAAACATGATTGTTAAATCAGGAGAAACTACAGCTTTTGTAGGACCTAGTGGAGCTGGAAAAAGTACAACAATTCAGCTTATTCAACGCTTCTATGACCCAGATGAAGGCATGGTAAGTAGACTTTTTCAGTGGCTTGCAATTTTTTATTTGCCTGAATAATTAATTGCAGATTATGCAATCTGTTGGATATTCACTAAATTAATTAGTCCAATAATTAATCCTCAAAGTTTACATGAGGTCAATCAAGCAGGGTTTCAGCACTCTGTTTCTCCATCCCAAGCACCTTCTCTGTGTTTACATTGAAAGTTAGAAGGCTGGAAGGCTGTGAAGTCACTGCTGGGAGAGGAAACATGGTGAACGGAGCTGCTGAAAGTGCTCCTACTGTACAGGTTGAGGATGGATTACTCCACAGTTCCTGCAGCTTCAGAGGTCAGCAAGAGCTTGTTTTTAAGCCTTTTTACTCTTTGCTAACAATAGGTAAATAGTTAAATGTCATTAGCCTGGTCACAGTTGCACTTTAACTCCTTATTCCAGAGAAAGGAGTGTGTTACATTTTTATGCTGGCATTGTTTCCTCTTTAGGAGATTTTGCCTTGATAACTGTCAGAAGGGGAAATCATAGTAAATCTCGCCAATGGGGAGACAGAAGAAAAAACACATTTTTAGTAGTGTGGGGAAAGGGTAAAATGTCTGACAATATTTTTGCTGCTGTCTATGACTTACCATCCTGGTGACCACTGCATCCCCTACTTTTTGTATAGGTGTCAAAGAAAGAACAGGAAGTGAGAAATAATTTCCCCAATTTGGCCAGAGGCGGAAACAAAAACTAGGTTTTAAAATTCAGGTTAGGTTGCCTCACCCTCATCATTTTGTTGCTAATTTCATCTTTCCAGGTCACTCTGGATGGGCATGACATACGCTCTCTGAATATCCAGTGGCTGCGCTCCCTCATTGGTATTGTAGAGCAAGAACCTGTTTTATTTGCAACAACTATTGCAGAAAACATACGCTATGGTAAAGATAGTGCAACTATGGAAGATATCATCAAAGCAGCCAAGGAAGCAAATGCCTACAACTTCATTATGGATCTACCTCAGGTATTTTTGCTTCTAAAGCCTGTCTAAAATATATTTAGATTTATGAAATAGTATTGGAAATTGGCACTAGTGAGACCCTTGGAGTGGTGCATTGAAACACCACTGTAACTGTCCACAGAGGGGTTCCGTGCTGGCACTACTTCATCAAGGGATTGCCAAGTAGCAGTGAAAAGGACAGGTATGCCAGTTTTTCTTAAGAAAAAGTTTCCAGTTGATTTTTATTTGCTAATTTGAGAGTTACAGAAGTAACAGAAGTAGTCATTGTGTTTTGAGGTCTCACCAGTCCCCTTCTCTAGGACTTGTAATTGCCAAATAAAAGGCTAGGTAGTTCAATGAACTGGGGTGAAATGGTTAAAATAAATCTAAGAACATGTAAAGGCTCATTCGGGATACCAGTCAGAAAATCCTGGTTCCAGAATAAATCAACTCGACCTATTAAACTTAGCTGCAGCTGCCACTTCTTGAATATCTTTTTGCATCACTAACCTCACTGCAAGCATGCAAGTTATTCTTTTCAGAAGTGTATAGAGCTTCACCAGTGTTTTTAAAATGCACTGTTCGTGTAAGTTCTGATTTTAATGGAAGCTCCCCCTTGTGGGGCAGGATCCCTCTTTAACCTCTGGAGGGCCACTGAATTTAGTGCACCAGCACATCTTCAGGGGACATGCTGGTGCACAAAATGCGTCGGAAGGAGCCTAGGTGTTGACATCACGCCATCGTGTCCACATGTTGGAGCAGCGGCCATCTTAGTAAGTCCTTTGCTGGCTGTTTTTGTATTTCACGTGGTTTTATTATGCTTTTACTCTATTGGAATAAATAAACTACACTATGAAAAGCATTTCTGGCTCCAAGTGGTAAGCTAATTTTAACAGGGTGTATTTCCAGCTGATGAGTCATTGGAGTGGCCAAGTGATCCTTTGAAGCTGCAGTTCTTTTTGTATGAGGCTCTTTATCCTGTTACTTCTGGTGAGTGCATAGTGGTGGTGGATTCACTTAAAGGAGACTGCACTATTCAGCAATCTACACAGATGAAGCACTATTGACTGAGACTTTTGGATTTGGACATTATGTAAATTTGCACTGCTCACATATATTCTTTTGATAGGTTTGTATTTCTAGCCATTAGCATCACTTTATATTTTCACATATTTTATTCATGTTATTTGCTTTGGCGCTGCACTTATTTTATATATATTTGTTTGATTTTTCACCTTTTTTGTGCTAGCTGCTACTTTCTCCAGTCACTCACTTATTTTGTGTTGATGTTAGCGTCCCCACATTATTTTGTCCTTTCTCTAGACTCTGTACCACAGCTCAAAAGTGCTCTCCTGCTAATCAGCTAATTCCAAAATTGAAAATAAAATACATGTGTAGGGCTACCACTGAAGGAGCCTCTGGTTATTTGGGCTTATCTCCCCACTCACAGTATGGACAGCCAAGCACATGGCATTTTCAGCATTCTTCATTTTGGCTCAGTAATCAGTCTAGGGGTTTCTTTTAGGGTTCTATTGGGAATAGGAATTTGGATAGAGATGGTGAGGCTGGGATACCCTGAAACTTTGGAACTGTAGAACTTGAGGACTGCTAGGCCTCTGGCTGCTCTGTACACAATACTGGCTGTATTGTTGAACCTTTAAGTGTAAATTCACCTTTACAGAAAATCTGTAAGGTGACCTTACACTCAACCCCTTCCCATCATCCATGGTCCCGCTGTGCCAGTGTCCTGTGGTCCCCTGCTGTCAGGCACTGGGACACCCCTTCACCGATCTGGGGATTTGAAATCCTCCTGGCTTTCTCTCCTCTTCTTGCAGCGCTGACAGAATGGGCTAGACGGATACTGAATAGTCATCACCATCCATGTGATGGTGCCGACCAATTAGAATGCCTCTTGTCCATACATGCTGAGAGGTAAGGATAGGAGAATAAGCTGTGGGAACGTCAAATCCCCAGACCGGTGAAGCAGCATCCTGACGCCTAACTGCGGGGATCGTGAGACACCGATACAGTGAGACTGGGGAGATGGGGAGGGGGTCCAGTGTAAGGTCACCTTACAGATTTTTTTGAAAGGGTGAAAATACACTTTAAGATGTCTCCTGAAGAAGGCTGGACCCTAGAACTCTGCCCTACGCCCACATACAGCAAGCTGCCCCTGCTGCATAGGCTTCAGACCATTTATGGACTCTTCCCCACCTTCTGGGCACTCATCTCCCCAGGGATTGGCTGAAGCCCTGTAAAAATTCAGACTCCAGCTTCTGCCTTCCCACTCACTATGTTCCAGAAATCTCTAGAAAACAAAGGGAGCAGCAGCAGCCTGTGAAACCCTGAACTGCCCAAATGAATCAACCCCTTCTTCACTGTTTATAGTAAAACTAAAACTAAATATGGCCTAGCAGCCTACTCTAACTAGGAGGGTGCTACACATGTGAACCATCACAGGATATATTATTCTATGCATGCAGAAGAGAATACCATTTTTCAGAAATCTGGTTCAGAAAATCTGGTAGAATGCCAGAAAATTGATAAAAGGAAAAGGTGCATCATGACTAATTAACCCCCTAATGGCTGCTAAGCAGGTTTTCATCTTCAACCACAGAGATCAAACAGGACTAAGAACATCCCTGCAGTGCTGGATTACCACATAGGTAGAGTAGGCAATGACCTGTGGGCCTCACACCACTTGCTGCCTGCCCACAGTACATTTACTGTGGGTGGGCGGCACAGGTAGGATGGATCACATACAGTACATGTGGATTGTGGCTTCCAGTATCCGTCCACTTCACATGAGCACAATGTCAACAAAGCTGTTATGAATGAATGTCATTCCTAACAGCTGTGCTTCCTATACAGTGATGCTGTGATTGGCCCACAGCTATCACATGGTACCTTTGGCAATCATAGCACCTTGTACCATTTGATTAGCTGTAGCCAATCACAGATCAAGTAATCACAGCTGTTAGGAATGTAACCCATTAATGACAGTTCAAACAATGCTGTTACAGTGATCATCATTGTAAAAGCAATCAAAGTGTAAAAAAAAAAAATCCCTGATCCCCCCTGAGTAGTATGGTGACACTAAACTACTGTTCTGCATCTCGGTCCGCTGCATTCTTGTTGCTGATACAATTGATTGCTTTGGTGGAGACGAGGCAAGCCAACACCTGAGATGTGATTCTGGAGAGTGATGCCTGATCTTGCCTGAAGCGGTATGTGAAATATTTAAACATTTTAGCGTGGGATAAAACCCAAAAGCTTGGGGAAACCCCATCTAAATAGTTGTCACCAGGACAGATGTCCCTATTAGAAGATTTCTCCTCTTGTTTCAGTGACACATTTTGGATTCCCCACCACTTCCTGGCTTGGCAACATTAATCATAAGGAATTATAGGACTAAATTTCCCTACAGGACAGTATTCATCTGACAGGGTGTTAACACTTCCCTACTCTATCGAAAAGTTAGAAAAAAGTGTTAATTTTAGATAGATGTAGATAGATTTATTTTATTTAAATGCAAGCAGTGTAAGTACCTGAATTTGATCTGGAATCTTTGTCATTCCCTATACAGCAGAGCTGAGACTGGGGAGTGAGAAGCAGCACAGGAAGCCAATCAGGTTTGCTGCAGTGCATGGAACATGCTGATAGGAGGAGAGAACAGAGTGACAGAAATATGTGCTCATCAGTGTGTTGCTTCTCCTTTTGTGCTCACAGGGTGGGGACCCGTAAGTGAAAGTGAAACTGTAGCATAGTAAAATCAGGTTCCCTCTCCTGCTAGACAGGGTTATGTTGTGGGGATGAGCTATTTGAATCTCAGGACTGGATTGACAGACATACAAATCCTTATGCAAGTAATACAGCTCCTGTATATGCATTTCTCCCATGTAATTAGCTGCTTGTCTGTAGTTCCACTTTAAGTATCTCACTGCATATCTTGCAGAACCCTTTCACTATCAGAATTTTGGTTAAGCTAGCCATACACGGTTTGATTTTCTTTTGTTCATCCTGCAGACTGAACCAGAATCAAACATTTGATTTCCCCATTTATGCTAAACAGCATGGATGCTGGAATCTCCCACTGCCTGAATACAAGGACACTGATGAACAGTGACTGCATCTGATAGGATGCAGTCACTGTCCCTAATCTTCCAGAATCAGTTTTTTTATCCTCAGTCAAGTTTTAAATCTACTTTTGTGTACCCGGTTGGTGTTTGCAGGGCCACCCACTGACATCATTTTGGCTGATTCAGCAGGAACTGGGCAAAATTCAAGCTGCCTATGGCCAGCATCAGGAAAGCCAAAGAAAGACACTGAAATTATCTTTGCAGATATCTATTTAATGGGTTTTGTAGAGGAACAAAGTTTATAACCATTCTTAGCAAGACACCAGAATAAAAAAAATAAAAACAATGTTAGTCCACTGTGGCCTTGTGCTGCCTAACATTATAGCACATAAAGATACTGTATTTAGTATGGATTAAAAAGCTAGCAATCCAGTATTTGTTTCTCTACATCCCTGCTATATTCTATATTTACTGCACCAATTATAACATAAACTACATTTCAGCATGGTACTGTGTACTTGCAGGAACTAACTACTATTTGCATTTTCTATGTCAGCACAGAAGGCTGCTAATTCTCTAAAGCTGATTGCTGATTGGTCTTCAGGTTGGTTTTGTGGTTGGACAGCTGATAGTAATGTTGGCTGTTTATTTGCTGCAGCTACTGGTTGCTCATTTCCTGGAAGTGGCACCTCATTGGCTGTAGCTGATGGCTATGTACTTGCTGGAACTGGTTGCTGGTCTTGTGGTTCTTCCTGTTGTAGGTCGAATAATTGAGCTGGTTCCTGTTCGGTGTTTTGAACTTCCAGTTCAAGTGTTTGCATTATTTCCTGCATTTGTGGAGGGGTTGATAGCTGTTCGGTTGCAGAATCTGTTGGGATGTCATTGCCCTCTACTGGTGTCTGCTGAACTGGTGACTGTTCTTCACTTGACTCTGATTCATGAGAAGAGCTCCCTCCTGAATCATTTCTGTTT